TTTGTGGCGTGACTTATTCTAATAACTTATGAGTTTAACCAAAGAAGAATGTGTAATAATATGTCAATCATGCTGTATCTTCCAATATCAGGCTAGCTGGGATACAACAGATATAGTAGTAATCGAGGCAATATTTACATCATCAGGAGTATTGTTTTAAACAAAGTGAAATGTTTAGATATGATTGTTGAAATAAATTCTATATACTTCAGCTGAGTGTTTGGTGAAAAGGACAAGTAATTTTATGGTTTTATATATGGGAATTTTGAATTTAAAAACAAGAATGTTATTGTATCCTTTACAAGATCATGATGTTGTATTGATTGGAATATTGTGTGCAGTTTTGGCTCCTTTGTTATTAAGATATCAGCATGTCTGAAAGAGAACAGAGAAGGTGTGTTTAAGTCATTTAAACAGTGGATAAAAGCTTTAAACTTTGGATTTGTTTCCTCCAGACTGTAGAAAAGTTAGGGGAATCTATTCAGTTGTTCAAAATTGTTTGAGATTTAGAGAGTTTTCCTATGAGTTGTCTATCTGATTGGCAGAAGGAAAAATTGGTAATATTAATTTTATTGTTAAAGTAATAGGTTTAAGCAGTGAAGAACCTGATGCAGACTTATTCTACAATGATTATTTCTTTTCTTCTTGGTTTGAGTTTTAAAATAGTGGATTTTTTTATAATATGGTTTGGGCATTTAGCTTGAATAATTTAAAGATTTTGTTGGATAGGTGTATAGATGTAAAGAGTTATATTTAAGTTGAATGAAAAACATTAGAAACACTTTGAATTAGATGTGACTTCAGTGGATCATCTTGCCTCATGTATTTAGTCACCTATAATTTTTATGTACTAAAGAGGAAACAAGCTCAGAATGATAACCTTCTCCACATCACTTAAATTTCTTAATCCAAATATCTCTTTAGTAGTCTTTAAGTCATTTATTATTCACACAACAATAATATGTAAGTTCTTGGATACTGGCCAATATAATTCTGATTAGCTATTGGGGCATAGAGGAGACTTGGAACATATCAGCACAGAACAAAGTAAGATTAAAAATAATATCACCACACTTTCAAATCAGACTAGGGTCCTGTTTTAGTATGGCATCTGCTGGAACAAAATGCTCATAAGTTAGTTCTCTTAGTCCAAATAAATATTTCAATAAGAATTAGTTTTGAATAGATTCCATTCAGAACATTTTATGGCTGTTCCAAACTTTTTTAAGATAGTTGTGGTTAGAATGAATAATGTGTTTTGATCACTTAGGTATTAACAAGAGCTACTTGTTACAATTAATTTTTATCAAAAATTAGCACCCAAGCTTTTTTTTCTCGTAATTAGTGTGGTTTTATTGCTAAAATGCACGTGTAGATACTTGTAAACGCAATGGATATTCGTGTTAAAATTGAGGCACCAGACCATGAAAAGTATGTTTTATTCATACTGTCTTTAATGAATGAGAATTCAGTGTCAGTAATATGCAGTAAAAAGGTATTTAATTCGTAATGAATTATTCACTTGGTTGATTAGATTCATTAGAACATATTCTGACAATTCGTTACTGTTCAGAGCTTTTGAGAATTCAACTAATTGTGTTTATTCTAGTTGTTACTGTTTTGTGATATGAAAACGTTTTTTAAACATAGTTATTTATCAGTTATCATTGATTTTCTTGAACTTCATGGAATTAGGAGGTTTAGTTATGTGACAATAATGCATTCTGTTCAAGGTTTTAGTATGCCCCCTATGTGGGCATATTTCTTTTATGTATATAACCTATCGAAGGGTTTCTTTTCTGTTAATCCAAAAGTGTAATGCTATTATTTTATTATTTATTTAAAAAGATAAAGATAGTAATCGTGTTAGGTAAGTAAATTAGTATATTCTCTATACAGTTCTTTCAAACATGTACTTGTTCTTTTTAAAACAGATATTTCAGACAATAAAACGAAGAAACCATATGCAAATATTAAGCAATACTGACAAACTGTAAAATAATTATTTTAATGCAGTCTCCAACCTTTTCCATATAGACTATGAATCAGTGTTTCTCAGCCGGATTTGCCAGACGACCCCGCATCCGGGCGTTGGTCGTCGCGACCCCATCATCCCTTCAAGGGTGAACAAAATCTTGATGTTTCTTGGTGCAGTTTTCGTAGTTCATAACAATGACACCTTCAGGACTCAAATTGAAAAAAGAAATGCTATAGAGTATAGAAATGTTAGTTTTAAAGTTACTAAGTAAGTTTACTCGATTTGAGGATTAGAACAGATTAGTGTGTGAAAAGTACACATGCTCATCCAAAGAATGAAGGCGTTTGTTTTTTGCGCTCGATTTTTACTATTTCTAGCAACAGTTATAGCTCCAAACGACATGTTTTGTAATACATAAAGTAGTTAAAGTATAGTAGTCCCAAAAAGTTTTATGTTCTTAAAGCAAAAGAATTCACGAATGCAGAAAATTAATATGCTTCTAGAATACATTCACGCTAGTACAACTGGCGTCTCGTATTTAAATTATGGCGAAGATACAAACCATAATCTTAAAGTACTTAGAAGTCAGTAATTTCTTTTATTCGCATCAGCCTTGTCTTTTGGTAAAGCTTTTATACGTGCTATCTTTAAACAGTTAAACGATTTTAGTTCTATCACCTGTTTGTCCCTAATGAAAGAGAGAAAATAATGGTAATCATGCATTGCGAGTTATTTGAGAGTAACGTCGAAATAAATAATTACGCATACGTTTTTTTGTCCGGAACTTTTCTCGCAAATTTCTCGATCAGACGCTACAAGTCTCATATTGTTAGAAGTACCTTTGTTCTAGGAGTCCGGATTGCATATTAGCTTTCCAGTTTATTAATAACCTGACCTTGTTTTTTTTTTCTTTTTTTTTTTTTTTTTTTGTCTTTAGTCAAACTTTACAAAGCAAAAGAGTATGGTACACGATGGCACAATGTCATTGTCATCACATGACTAGTGGCTTCACTTCAACTTAGTTTTTATTTGCAAAGTACATCATACAAGGAACACTTAACCCACGTGTAACTTCCTAAAAAAATGAACATTACACTTAATATAATTTGTATTGCCTTTCTCGATTTACTTACGTCTAAAATACGCATGCGCAGTTCGTTAAGAATCATATCTTTATCACTTTGTGAACACGTATTCAGACGT